AATTCAGTAAACGATCCCTTCGGATAATTCTTGTTTTGCTAAATTATTCTCACATTGTTAAAGTCACACCAAAAGCCATAGGCCACTACAAAACCCTGCCCCCACACTGGCCACACATATGGAAAGTAGCCCAGAATTCTGTGGCCAGTTCAAGGCAGTTCCCTTGTGGTCTAGCAGTTAGGATTCCTGGTTTTCACGCAGAAGAGCTACAGAACCCTAATAGGTTGAGGTTCTGTTTAACACCCCGTGCCTTCTATAGCTCAGTGGTAGAGCACATGCTTTGTAGGCAGAGTCTGTATGCCTGGGCTTTAGACGCTCATTGGCTTATATCCATCTATCAGCTGCGAGCCCGCCTAACAAGCGTCGCTATTGGTTGGGAATTGTGAGTGTTCTATCTTCGCTGAGTGTGTAACTTGTACAGGCTGCACGTAGCCTCTCTCACGGCGGGATTGAATATCGTTCCCATAACGGAGAAATATCTCTGTGATGTCTCGTGAAAGCTCGAGAGGGAACGCTCCGGTTACTATCGTAACCTCGGTTCCCTGAGAGCGGGAACGAGACATCACGGTGGTCGCCGGAAAGGAAGTGCTGAGGTGAAGTTGGAGAGGAAGGCTCTCCCCCATTTTGTTTTTGATTTTTTTTTTCATTTGTTTTGTTTTTGTTTGTTTAATTTCAAGTTATAAAATTTGCAGTATTTTCAATTAGAAAATTTTATGAAGATGTTAAGGACAATTGTGGGGGATTTTTTAAGTGATCAGAATGATTGGTTAGAGGAATGGGAAACATTGTTTTTATTTGGCTTTAATGGAAAAGCAAAAAATGTTTATGCTTTAAATTTATGGTTAACAGTAGCAAGATATACGATTTGGAGATGAAGGAATATAATTAAATTGAAGAAAAAATAACTGTTATTGTGTAGCTTATTTAAACAGTATTTGACTGCAGTGATAGAGGACATATATGATTATTTTAATATGAATGGAAAAATGGATGTATTTAACAAATATATTGTAGTAAATAACCCATACATTGTAAAAACATGGTCTGGTTTTAATGTAATTTTGCCTGAGATGTTCTAACTTTTTTTTTGTTTTGTTTTGTGAATATACTTCAAATGTAAGGATGTGAATGTATGAAATTTGTGTAATTAAAAAAAAAAA